ACCAAAACACAAGAACTTTTAAAAAGATTAATTTAATACTGATATCGATATTTTTTTCAAAACTATATGATATTTTTAAATTTATATTTTATTCAAAAATAAAAACATTATCACTTTTCTCAAAACCACATAAAACCAATGTTTACTTAAAATTCAAGATTATAAGTAAATTATGCAAAAGTACAACTTATTAAAGCTCGATATTTGAATTTATATAATTAATTGCGGATAAACATAATCAAATAGAAAATAAACATCTTATTTTAAAATATAAAAAATTTAAAATATAATTAGGATAATTATCGAGTTCCAACAAAATAATTAATTATTATCTTTATAAGAAAATTATATTATTAAACCAAATATAAATTATTTTGTTATTGTACCTAAATTAAATTAAAAAATTACACAAAAAATGAGGAATTTTAAATAGTTAATTTGATACGAATATCGATATATTTTTGTTATGCATGAAGTACTTTATATTGATGCATATTACTTAAAATTCAAGATTACAAGTAAATTATACATAACTACAACTTATTAAATCTCGATGTTTGAATTCATATAACTAACAACAGGTAAACATAATCAGATAGATAATAAACATCTCATTTTAAAATATAAAAAATCTAAAATATAATTAGAATACTTATCGAGTCTTAACAAAATAAATAATTATTATGTTTATGAGACAATTATATTATTAAACCAAATATAAATTACTTCGTTATTGTATCTAAATTAAATTATAAAAATATTGAATTAAAAAATTACACAAAAAAATGAGGAATTTTAAATAGTTAATTTGATACTAATATCGATATATTTTTGTTAAATTTTTTATATGATATCTTTAAACTTATATTTTATTTAAAAATAAAAACATAATCATTTTCTTAAAATCACATAAGACCATATTATAACATCGACTGAGGTAAAAAAATAAAATAAAATATTAAAATCAAGATGTATATTGTTGCATTACATAAGTACCTTTCTAGTATATTTAAAACCATGGGATATATATTGGATATGGAGTTACAACTTGTTATGAAACTAGTGCATATCCCGGTGTCTTATCTCATGTTTTTAGATACGTCTATACTATGAAATGCATCCAATGGTTCCACCAGGGCCGTAACAAGTTGTAAGTGCATATCTTAAATACATCTATCTATGCTAATAATTTATATTCTAGTGAAAGTAGGAAACCTGATAGTTATCATATAGCTGACGTGCGAGTCCATAGGAGTTGATTTAAAGCCTCACCAAGGTATCAATCAGTCCCCAATAGCCCACCTCTTTTTGCCTTTCCATTCCTACTCGTTTCTGTTAGATTGCATCGGCGGACTTCGATAACAAGATGACGCCGCCGGCAGCGGTGGAGGGAGGTGACGGTGGTGGTCATGGAGGACAGCCACAGCAACAGCAGGGTTTTGGCCAGATGTTTACCGGAATCATAAGGGTTGCCGTCATATATTACTTTGCATCCAAGTTCTTCTCATCCAATAAACCCTCGTCTTCCGGCTCCGACCCTGCTGTTCAGATCTCCAATCTTTTCCAAAAGTCTGAACCTTTGGTCCGTTTCTTCTTTCTCTCTCTCTATGTTTTCTACGTACACGCAGTTACTTGATTCATTGTGTAAAGCACTTTACCTGTAAATCTGGATCGCCAATGATACACTCTCATCTTATTCTTATGCATACACTTTATATATGTCACGACGTTTTGATTAATATTTAATATATAACAGAATTCTTTTTGCATCTCCAAACTGATTTTGGGCTGTGAGATTTGTGATGTTCTCGCTAACCACATTGAACTACATGAAAGAATGACCCTGGTGTTGATATGCAGTGAAATACTTAATAATTTTGAATTTCAAACATACTAGGTTTGGCTGAAATAATCAAAGTGTAGCTCCTATAATCCTATTGGAAACAGAAGTAGTGCTTTGTATGTTTCTACAAGCTTTGATGGCTGCTTATGGATGCTAGCAACTTATATGGAGAAAAATTATATCTCCTTCAGCACCAACTGATTTGAGTTTGTCTCACTTTGAGATTTTCTTAATGAAGGATTGATGGAAGGGAACAAAATATATGAAGATCACTTAAAAGTTAAAACGATATGCGGACCCTTTAGAAAGAAGATGAGGACATCTGTTCTAAAACAGAATGAACAAAATGCGAGCTTAATAAATATATAGGTAACTATACATTGCTCTTATGGTCTTGCAATCGCTAAGCCCATCCTGACTGTCCCTGGACTTTCAGTTTTCTTGAGCCAATACCATGCTGTCTCATAAGTTTAAAAAGAGTCAGTAAAGAAGGACCAATTTTGCTTAGGAGTCTAATCACTTTATGCGACTGGTTGGCCACTTGGCCTTGGCGCTACAGATCTTTGGTATGTTGAACTAACCCCAAGGGCACAAAACGGTTTTATTCTTTGTCCTCCCTAGTATGAACTATGCGGTAAGAACAAATGCTAATATCCAAAGCCATTTTTCGATATTGTTGCTAAAACTATACCATATAAACTTGAAAGCTAGTTTTTTTTGTTATCCTTTGTCCTCCCTCTTAACAATGCTGTGCTGCAATACCAAGGACACACAAACGGTTTGATAATAAATTAGTTCTGGAGATTAGTTAGCTATATATACTTGGAATTCAAACTTGGTTGGAGCAATATGACCTTATTTTGATATACACTAGTTTCTTTGCCAGCTTTGGAAGCACACTTATGTTTTTGGATCAGCCATATGTTCTATTCGTAAGCTCGCATTGCAAACCCAATATGCATGTTGCTACAAATAGGATCACTCCTTAATTTATGAGAAAGTGTAGAGCTGGAGATTTTTGAAGAGCGGTTTAATATAAATCTTATGGTTCTACACCTCTGATTTATGTGTTGATGAGCTGAACATGTTTTACTTCTTTTATATATGCAAAGCTACTTTTTTCGGTTCCTTATCACTGTATATAACCTGAAAATTAATCTGCTATGCATCTTTTCTCCAGGATATGTGGTTTTATCTCTCTGAACATGATGAGTTCAATGACTTCGGGAATGAAGCAGCACTTATATGGCATGAGTCAAACATACCTTATGCAGTTTGGGGGCCAGAGAGCACCAGGACTCTTTCTTTGAAGTATTATCCATCTGAGGTAGTTATTTCCAAAGCATTTGACCTCTGTAAATAGTCTTTATTTCAGAACATTTTTTTGAAAATTGTAGGGGTACCAACTTAATGCCTAGGGATTCAACTTTTCCAAGGAGTAAAGAACCTTTTTTGCAAGCTAACTAAGCTTGGATTTTTCTTGTGTATTAGGCTGTTATTATTTTTCTGGACTTCCGTAATTTATCTTTGTTGTTGATTTTGGTTTTTATACTGTCACTCAATGTACTTTGTATTTCAATTTTCAGGCATTGCAGCATAATGGGAGTCTATTTGCTCATGTCTTCTTTGCACGTTCTGGGTATCCAGTAGATCCCAGTGACCCCGAATACCAGGCTTTGGCTGCCTTTGGGTTGACCCATCGTAATACTTTGTATCTCATCAAGTCAACTTTAGCATTGGATTAACTAAAAGCTATATTATAATCAGTACATTATATTCTACATTTATATCTAAAGAAACTTGTTTCTATTTGCAGCTGTTGTGACATACTTGCCGAAGTCAAAAGCAAACAAGAAGAAGAGCCTGTTGGGGAACTCCAAGGGCACCAGCGAGGATGATGCAGTGTCGGAGGTTTGCTCAACTTAATCATTTTTCGTTTAGATATGTTATATTACATGAAAACATGGTTGCAGTCTTTATGATAATGAGTGATCACAGTGAGGCTCATAATGACAGTCGAGTTATGGTATTGGTGAGTGGTTGATGATTGAAATGAAATAGATGAGCAGTAAGGTAGATGCCCCAAGTTAATGACATGAAACGTTTTGCAATAAAAGCGCTCAGAAATGCCCCAACTGTTATCACTTGTTACAGTAATATTCTTGATGTATACAATTAGAATGTATACCTTACTAGTGGTGAAAACATAGAATTTGAGTGTACCAAACTTTCAAAGAACTCTAGAGAGTTGTGTGAACCAAGCTCTCAATGATTGCTTGAACCCAACTCATGATGTAATTGGTAGACTTTCAAAGGCTAGTCACGAACAACTCTGATACCATATCATCAGGGTTCTAAGTTGTTTGCTACATTGATCAATATGAGAAGATAGAGAATGCATGGCCTTTGGGCTAACTTTGAGGATAAGCAAAGTAAAACTTAATTAAACAATACATACATAATGAAACCCAACAAATATTTCTTTACCCAAAAAGCCCCAACAAATACTAACATAAATAGTAAGTGCCATAAAAATTCCCTCGATCACAATCCATCTATGTTAGGCTTATGAATATTTGGTTCTCTGCTAACTATTTTGAACTGTGTCATGTTAAAGGATGGATGTGAATGGATACCTGATCCAATTCTTCCTGCCATCTCATGGTACTACATTTTTTGAAGAATATGACATTTTATATACGGAAAATGAAACTCAGGCACACTTCCCATCTGTGATAGTACATTCTTCTTGTTCTATCAACTCCACTTGATTCAGCAAGTTGGGTCATCTTGAAAAACAATCTATTCCAATTTCATTAAACTTGTGGTACTTATGTTCCATGCTGACCTGGCTGTGACTTTTTTAGGTTGGTGCTAGAGATGCAATTTTTGATATTTTTTTGGAGACTTTCATGTAATGTTAAGCTTATTTAGTGGAATCTTGTAGATTGTTTTTCTTGCATTATCTTACACACATATCAAGTTATGGTGTCAACTTCAGCACGTCCATATTTCTTTTTCCTCTAGAACTTGTCACAAGTAGTTCATTGGGGAATTAAAGACTTGTGTTGCTATTTGTTAAAAGTCTGAAATGTGAATGGAGTTATATGTTGCTCAGGGTGTCGAAGAACCTCAAGTTGATTCGAAGGATGATGGTCCTGTGGAGTATATTTCATATTGGAAACCAAATATCACCATTAATCTGGTTGATGATTTTACAAGGTATGCAACACTCGAATGGCATTTTGCTGCTTGGTTGTCTTTTCTTTTTGTTGGTTTCTGACTTGACTTTATTTGCTGACATGCTAATTCTTAAAACTGTTCTTTCAGATACTCCCAACGTGCTATACCACCCAATATTGCTCCTTGTATCCTTTTCTGCTTCCGTTTTCTGATGAATTTTCCTTTCAACTTCTTGGCGTGCTACTTCTTTTAGCTTCAGTTTTCTGATGAGTTTTCCATTTTTATATTTCCATTTGATTTGCTTTTATTATATTTTTGATACTCACCTATAGATAGGGGCAATCTGGTAACTTTAACAATTTCGTCCTGTCCTATCCAGCTTACTAAACCTAAGACAAACAATTAGTCCAGTCCAGTTCTAGTTGCACCAAACGCAGAATAGACAGTTAGTCCTGCCCATCCAGAATGCACATGGAATGCTACTTTAAAAGATTTCCTCGGAAGGAGAACTGATTTAATTCTTATTGTAGATTTCAACTTCTAGTCTTTTTTTTCCTGTATATATATTTCTTGGTGACCTGGCTTTTCTGGAGAGTCAGCACACTTTAAGAACTTTTGTTTCTCCATTTCACGACATTTTGAGTTTCTTGACTTGAGTTGCAGACATGAATATTGAACCTACCACAAACAACTATTATCCAACCATTTTCTTCAACGAGTTTTGGTTACTTAGAGATAAGCTTATAGCGATCAATGATACAGTAAAAGAATTGGCCCTTCATCTAGAGGTGGCCCCAATAAGCATGACCAAGTGGCAGCTGTTTCTGCAGATTGATCAGTCATTCCAGATTCATCGCAGTTATGGAAGTATGCTTGAAGGAGAGGCTGATGAACTTAAGGTATTCACTTCCATCCTCTCTGTTTGCAATAGTTTTTGTCCTTCCCTTGTATAATAACAATGTATAATATTGTTGTTAATACAGAGGGTGTTTGTGGAAGGAAATCCCTATCTTCTGGGAATTACTATGGTTGTTTCACTGCTTCATTCAGTATTTGACTTTCTGGCATTCAAGAACGGTAATGTCAAAAATCATTTTTATTCTTTTTATTTTCTTCAAATTCTTGAAGTATTTTACAAGCCATTTCTCTGATTTATTCTATGCAGATATACAATTCTGGAACAAAAATAAATCTATGGAAGGACTTTCGGCAAAGTCCGTGGTCGTGAGTTTCTTTTGTCAGTTAGTTGTCTTCCTTTACTTGTTGGACAACGATACCTCGTGGATGATACTTGCAAGTTCTGGAGTTGGTTGCTGCATCGAGTTCTGGAAAATTGGGAAAGCAATGCATATTGAGGTATGTATCTTAACTGCTTACTTAAGTTTATCGTCATCCTTAGATAGAGGTCAAAGGCCATATATATATATATATATATATATAGAGAGAGAGAGAGAGAGAGAGAGAGAGATAGATATATAGACATTGGAGAAAGTATTNAGAGAGAGAGAGAGAGAGAGAGAGAGAAAGAGAGAGAGATAGATAGATATAGATACATTGGAGAAAGTATTCGAGTCTGCCAAGATTTATATAATTGGGATTTTTCTTCATGAAACTTGTTAACAAAAAGAAAAATACAAATTTATCAAAATAAAAGTCAAGAAAGAGTTTGGCTTACCATATGGGAACTCTCTGTTTTCTAGCATTTTTCATTGCTCCTGAATGCTTCTTTTTATATTGTTTTAGTTGCATGCATTTATTTATAGCCTATCAGTCAACGGTTAGTTTATCGGCTAGGTTGCCAAACATAGCCTTAGAGTTTGCATCGATCGGTGACCATGGACATCTCATTTGATGGGTAATAATGATGTTATTATCTCAGGTTGATAGAAGTGGGAGCATACCTAAACTAAAATTTACTGATCGTGATACGTATGCTGGGAACAAGACAAAAGAATACGATGATCTTGCAATGAAGTATCTGTCGTATGTACTTTTTGTACTTGTTGCCTGCTCTTCTGTATATTCACTTATGTACGAAACCCACAAGAGTTGGTACTCCTGGATTCTCTCCTCCCTTACAAGCTGTGTATACATGTTCGGTAATCCCCTAAAACCTTCCTCCTATGCTTTATGCTACTCATCTCATTCTTACATAATATTTTCAGGGATTTCTATTGTTAAGCAGATATATTCTTAAATCTGTGTCAAGGTCTTGATGCATCATTTGAAATTAGTTTTTATGTGGTGCAGGGTTCATTATGATGTGTCCACAGCTGTTCATCAATTATAAGCTAAAATCAGTTGCTCATATGCCATGGAGGCAGATGACTTACAAGTTTTTGAATACCATAATTGATGATCTCTTTGCATTTGTTATAAAAATGCCAATACTACATCGCCTTTCTGTCTTCCGTGATGGTAGGTTACCTCACTCTGTTTTTATTGATTTTGAAAGCGTTTTGCTTGACCGAGCTGTATGGTGTATATATATTCCATTGTGGTTGACTATTGATTTGTGGTTGCAGATGTGATATTTTTGATATATCTGTATCAAAGGTGGGCTTATCCAGTCGATAAAAAGAGGGTGAATGAGTTTGGTTTTGGTGGGGAGGATGAAGATGAAGCCGCGGTAGCCTTGGCATCAGGCTCAGGGTCGGGCAGTAGCGCAGAGGAGAAGAAAACCAACTGAGATCATTCTGACCTTCTAAAATAAATGTATCAAGTTTTGAGAACCATAGAAATTTTAAGATTATTTTTGTTTCATTGTGATTTTTATCTAAACATAGTATTAAGTTGCTTGCTTAGATGAGTAGAAAGGAAGGTACATTGTTCCTAGTTTTTTAATCAAAAACCATTTAAATGTCGCTTGACAGCTTATCATAGCAAGTGGTGACATCTGGTCGGTCTTGGTCTTTAAGGTAGCGTTTGGCTCGTGGGATTAAACTAGGATAAAACATTATTGAGTGTCCCATTATAATAGGTGAAACAAAAATCATGTAGGAGGAGATGGAACAAAGACATGTAAATTACCAACTAACCATATGAAATTAAAACGACCAATAATTTTTTCATCTGCACATCTCATTCGTCCAGTATGGTGGCATGCGAAATGCACCCTTACGTATATCCAATTACGAACAAATTCATGAACTATTGGTACAAACTGTTGAGATGATCAGATCCTAGGACGGACTGTAACCGGTCTCCAGCGACTTGCTGTTTTTATGCATTTTTGCAAGAATGCGTACATTCATCACATCATAAAAACTATTTTTCGCTTTATATCGCTCCATGTTAGTAGGCAATTCAAGCCAAAACCGACTAGATGCTCCTGCAAAAACCTAGAACACTTCCATTTTGACATGTCCCATAAACATTGCAACATTTTGGCAAATGTAAAAGTTAGAATTGTCTATTTGCTTCAACACTACTTATTGATACTATTGATTTTGATTCACAATGTTCTCTTTCTCTTGCCACTATTGGAGGGTATTTAACTGGTAGTTAAACAATGTCTAAAAGATGTATCTGGTCAAATGTTGCCATTTTCATGGGGATGAAGTGTTGGGGGAATTTCATGTATATGTGAGAACACAATAAAAAGCATGGATAAAACTTGAGATCGTGTGAGAGCTCTCTTTCCTTTAGTTATATTTTGATCCAAATCTATCTAGGTATCACGAAATTAACTCTAGGATAATCTCAAATCTACAGTCGCGAATACACAAAAATCAATACGAGAATCATAGAGTAAGTAGGTATAATAAACAACAGGAATAAGATGAACACAATTAACACCAACATGAAACATATGAAACAACTCATCTAAACAAGTCACCCTTCCCCAACCCACCTGCTCTGACTCTTATCCATAACCCTTAGTGTCCTTGTACAAACTCTACTATCCTAATCATGCAAAACTTCTATAGGAGGACATGTCTTTGAGAGTGTCTAAAGCTGTCAAGTCTAGTCTTAATTGTTTATTCCACGTCATCCATACTCTCTTTCAATTTATTTGTGATAGACAATACTCCAAATTTTGCTCGAAAGACCTTATTCGGTATCCTGTCCAATATAGTTTGGCTACATGTTTACATGAGCATCTCATGTAGACATATAGCCAAACTCTGTAGTAACTTCTAACTTTCTTTCATGCGTTTTTTTTTTTTTTTGCCGTCCAACACTTTGTCTTATAAAACATGGTTGGTATGATGATTTGTAGGATTTGTCTTTCACTTTTTAGTGATACTTTCTTGTCAGACAACACCCCTGTGGTAGCCTCCATTTTCCTATCTTGCATTATGCAATGTGTAACGTCATCCTCAACGTCTCATTACTTGTGAACATGGAGCCTAGATATTTGAAACCATCATTCTTTTTCTACGATTCGCTTTCTAATGCTGCCTTCCACTCCTCATCATTACCTTTCCGGCTAAAGTTGTAACAAAGGTATTCAATCTTAGGGGCTGATTGTTTACCTCTTAATAGTCTCATTAAGAGGCATCATCTAAATCGCTAAGAGGTGAATTTTGTTTGACAAAAAAAGTCTAACTCTTAATGATTCTAAAACCCTCCGAATGATTTTGTATCTTGGGCCTCCCTAAACCATTCAGAGCCCTAAATTCATTCTGATCAATAACCAAACAACCATATTTCATTTTGCACTATATCATAAGACCCTTTTAATCATTCTGACCAATTAATCATCTTGTACAAAACCATTCAGCAACTGCCAAACAACTCTTAATAGATCAACTAATGGGCAAGCTTTGTACCTCAAAAGGCATCCTCCACTGTTCCAACTTAACGTTCATCTCCCTTTGTCTCATGTAAAATTACAACAAATAAGAAATGGACTCAGGCTCGAATGTAGTGTCTCAACTGGAAAGTATTCGATCTCACCTATTGGTGTATACAGATGAAAACGGGGTAGGTAATAGGTGGGAATTGCATCCCCGACCCCAACCCCGTCCCACCTAATGCCCAACTTTCGGTAGGAAAAGAACTTCTACAGGTATGGGGAATCCGTTGGGTAAAAATAAAATTATGTATTTTAAATCTCATTTTTCAAAAAACACATGATAAAAGTATCTCCAACAAATTTTCCATGTCGAATAAAATGAAGATTTCAGAGAATTTTATGCTCCAATGGGTTTTCTCCAAAATGGAGAAAGTAGGAGAGGGTGTAAAGTTCTTCAAATTTTGAGATCTCTCCAAAAATAATTACCATGAGAAAGAAATGATTTTTCATTATTCACCGGTAGCCGGTAGGTAAACCTTCAAATAAAATGTTTATGAAAGAGAAATAATGTTTAATTAAATGTGTATGAAATATTTTAATAATATATTGTTAAAAAAAATTGTTAGGACCAAAATTGATCATAATTATTCTAAAAGTTTTATCAAAGCAATCGGGGCCAAGGATGGAAGATCTGAAGATGCTGTTGTGCTAAAACGACTAAGTCTGGAAGACGACCAAAGCCCCTATGGACGACCAGAGCCTCTGGTTGTATTGACCAGAGACTCTGGACTCTAAGTCCTCTAGGACCAGAGCCCTTGGTTGTATTGACCAAAGACTCTGGACTTTAAGTCCTTCAGACCAGAGGCCCTCTGGTTGGTCTATGCTCTGGATGACTATCTTTAGAATCTTGAAAGATGGTGCTGATCCCATTTTCGATAATGATTATATCCTTGTTTATAGAATTTAGTTACCTTATTTATAGGATTCAGTTATCATGTAAATATTGCCTATATACAAAGTGATACAGGCATAGAATAGAAGTGAGATGAATGATCAACACTTTGTAACACACAGATTCAAACACATCACATGAGAGTCGATTAGGGTTTTTTGAGAGAGTTTTTATTCAATAAAGAAAGCAGCGGCCAATTTCTATTCATCTTCTTCTATAAATCTCTCATTTTATATTCCTGTTAAATTGTTCTACTGTCAGATCTGGGTTTAACAATAATTAATGCTAAGAAATGGAGAATCTGTTGAAGTTGAATGCAACTTTTTAGAGATTTAGACTTGGGTTCTCCTTAGAAAACTTGTAGAGAATCTATTGGAGATGCTCTAACATAACCAACACATACAATCTAACATAACCAACACATGCGATCATAGTTCATGATAAATCTAAAAACATACAAATATAGGAAACAAAAAAGGTAATCAAATTATATATTGAAATATATATCGGGTAGTATTAGGGATGGTTACAACTAGGGGTGCTTATGGGTTGAGTTAATCGGGTTGAAGACATTTGAACAACTCAACCCAATGCTTGCGCTTTGAAAAATCTCAACCCATCCCAACCCAGACCAAACCAAAGTGCAACCCAACCCAACCCAAACCAAACCGTACGGGTTGATACTTTGGTACATTAAAATATTCTTATAACCTTGAATATGTTATTTTTCTATTCATAATTTATTTTTCATCATCAACCATTTGATACAACTTATCTATATACTTCTTACGTATATCACATTCAGTTAATTTTCTCAATTTACATATATATGTTCACATTTACTAAATAGATTGAAAATATGTGTATATGAATAACGTACGTGATAGTGTAACTGTCTAATGTATATATTAATAGAAATTCAACAATCATATAAAATCCAAGAAATAAAATGATATCGGGTTATCGGGTTGGGCTCAAATAATAGTAACCCAATACCTACGGTTTGAAAATTTTACAACTCGATTAGACATTTGGTTGCTTCGGGTTGAGTTATTTCGCGTTGGTTGGTCGGGTTTTTGAGCACTCCTAGTTACTACCATCTTCGATCCTAAACTCGCTTTGAGTGTGAAAATTAGTATCTTTCCCCGCCCATATCAACGGGTAAAATTTCCATCATAACAAGTGTAGTGCTGTTTTGACTGAATGTGATCCACAAATCAACATTTATTGTTTGGATATAATTTAGATATTTTTATTAGATTATGTATCAAGTCAATTATTGCATTCGTTTTTAAATTTTTTATCATCTCGTCATTTCCAAAAACTTGAGGGTCGATATGAAATATTTATGAAAGTGATGCTTCATTCTGTAAATTTAACAACCACCGGTATAAGCAGTTTTAGGGGCTGTTTGTTTGGCTCTTAATGGTGACATTAAGAGGAAACCTCTTAATCGGTAAGAAGCATGGATTGTTTGGCAAAAAAAAAAAAATGAGGCTCTTAATGATTTGTGTCTAGGGCTCCACTAAATGATTCAAATATCACTTGTTTCAAGTTTACCCCTCTCATCCCTCTTTTCCAGCCGCTCTCTTCACGCATCTTTGCATCTCTTTATCTTCGCCTCGACCATCTCTGCATCTCTCTATCTTCGCCTCCAACAGCATCCAAGGCACCATCCCAGCAAACATAAGTAGATGCCTCCAACTTAGGGTTCTTGATTTCATGCAAAATCAAATTTCTGGTTCTATTCCTGAAGACCTCACTCTCGTTCCTGAAAGGCCTAGGTTTAATAAATGCAAGCTACAACTCCCTTTCCGTTGAAATCCCGCCTGAGTTAGGCCACTTGGAGGACTTATAGGAGCTTATTCTGGGCAAAAACAGATTGTCTTCAAATATCCCAAATTCATTGGGTAAACTTGGAAACTTGACTAAAATTGATTGGGAAAATTGCACCAAAATGGAACTAACTTTCACTTAGTTCCTATTTTGGAGAACCAACTTTTAAAATCGTCATTTTGGGGAACCAACTTTCAAAATCGTCATTTTGGTGAACCAACTTGCACCTGATTCCTATTTTGGGGAACCAACTTGCAAAATAATTATAGAAAAATAACTAAAATTCATTTTTTTTCCAAAAATTAATGTAATAAAATCTATTTTTCATTTCAAATTTTATTTTTTTAATTGAGATATGAAATTGAACATTTTTAAAAAAAATCCAAATTAACACAATAAATTGGTTTTTTACTAATGCAAAAAAATCAATTTAATAGAAAAAAATTAATTGATGCAATAAAAAATAAATATTAAATATCGCATCAAGATTTTTATATCTAAACAATTACATCAATTAATTTTTTTCTATTAAATTGATTTTTTTTGCATTAGTAAAAAACAATTTTTATTGTGGTAATATGGATTTTTTAAAAATGTTTAATTTGATATCTAAATTAAAAAAAACGAGATTTGAAATGAAAAATAGATTTTATTGCATTAATTTTTGAAAAAAAAAAGAATTTTTGTTATTTTTCTATAATTATTTTGCAAGTTGGTTTCCCAAAATGACGATTTTGAAAGTTGGTTCCTCAAAATAGGAATCAGGTGCAAGTTGGTTCCCCAAAATGACGATTTTGAAAGTTGGTTCCCCAAAATAAGAATTAGATGAAAGTTGGTTCCGTTTTGATATAATTTTCCCAAATTGATTTGTCAAACAATGAATTGGGAGGAAGCATACCCATCAGTTTTAGGAATTTCAGAAGGATAATTTTTATAAATTTGTCCATGAATAAGTTCAGTGGAAATATACCACAGAAATTCTTGATCTTCCAAGTTTAACCTCCATCCTTAATCTTTACATCAATTCATTAACAGGCTCTTTGCCTCAAGAAATCGAGCTTCTGGAAAGAGGTTAAAATGGTAATTTATTATCATCTAGAAAACAGTTATCAAACAACATTATTCCATTCAGCACTTAACCATTCTGACCATCTTAACCATTCTAACCACTTAACCATTATGCACCAAACAATTCATCAACCACCGAACAGCGCTGTTCCTCATCCAAATACTAACATTTTAACTTATCATCAATGTCCACTAAAATAAATCAAAAAAATAAAAATAAAAAACACCTAAAATAAACAACCCCAAACATCCCCAATCATCTTATAAAACACAGCTTCCATCTCCCACGTACAAAACAGATCACCTTTGCACCTGCCAGACGGCTGCTGATTCGGTGATTCATTCTCCGGCGACTTCTTCTACGTCCGGATACTGCAGTGCTGCCGTTCCTCCTTCTTGGGATACCGTTCTCTTAAGACCAGGTGATGCTTTAACTATAAATGCCCAATTCCTCCGATTGTCGAACATTTCGTTGTTCGTCGTCGTTATGAACTTTAAGTCTATGGTTTTTAACGGATTAATTGGTGATTTGATACTTTCGTGGGCGTATTTGAAAAAGCTGGAATCCTAAATAGCAATCGTGTATATGTTCTGATTTAGGGTTTGGGCTTTTCTTGTCATGGCTAGTTTTTCCTTTCCTTTTGTTGCGGTTGTTCTATGTGTGATTCAGCGATTAATATTCATATATTTCTTCTTAGATTGTATTGAATCCACATGCCTGGCTTATATAATCCATGAGATTTTTTTTCTCTCACTGTATCAGCCCTTGAATTACACTTATGTATGCAATTTTTATATGCCTTTTACCAGAATGATTCCAAGATATTATAGGATTGGTCCCTTTGCTCCTTTATCACAATTTGCACGCCTTTCATCCATGAGAATTGCAACAGATAACAATTGATTCTCCATGCAAAATTAATAGCTTTTTGTAACAAAACAGGGAAAATAACCCATAATTGGTTTTGAAATTGAAGTGTTGAAATCTGCAGTAGATATAGCAATTCTTTTAATGTTGGCAATTTTGGAATAGGTAACTTTAGCCTCAAATTGTCAAATGCTACGAATACACAAGACGCCTCGGGATAGAATCATGGACTTCATGGGAGGATGGAGTCTTTCTTTTCAAAAACTTCCCTTCCCTTTTCTATTGAAAAATCAAATGTATATTTTCATCCAAAAAAGCCAAAATTTATAACAAATGGGAACCATTTACTATTCGTTGACTGAGAATTCCTGATTGATTCTTAGGTATGGATCTAAAATTTGGTTTGCCGAATGACATAAGAAGATACAAATTGATACATACTTCATAAGTATTCATTCTTTTGAATAAGAATGCCTTCTCAATTTCCATTATAACAAAAATGAAAAGTATCTGTAAACCCCAGAACAGAAATTGTCATGCAGATACCAAATTGGATATCTTATTGTTGTTAAATAAATTGCTGCAAACTATGCAGGATATTGAAAAAGAGTTGGTGTTAGAAATTGATTAATCATCATGGCGGACTTGGATGAGATGCTTCTTGAAGCAGCAGGAAGAACTGGAAGAAACCAGCATTCGCCACCGCCATCAAGGAGGCGACGAAAGGGTTCATATTCTGATGATGGAAGTGATTCAAGAGATGATGACTCAGATGATGATCATGGGTATGCTAGCAGAAAGCCTTCTGGTTCTCAGGTTCCTTTGAAGAAAAGATTGGATCCTGCAGAACGAGATGATGAACATAGCAGCAGCCGTGAAGATGATGAAGATGATGATGATACGTATGATCGTGAGGGTGACAGTGATGATGACTCTGTAGGAAGTGATCTTTACAAAGGTGAAGAAGACAGACAAAGGCTTGCAAAAATGTCGGAGCTTGATAGAGAAATGATACTGGCTGAGCGTGCAACCAAGAAAAATGATAAAGACTTGAAAAACAGCATAAAGAAGCAGAAAGAAAAGTCGACTCAGTCGAGAAAAGACAGCCCCCCACCTCACACAGTAAACCGAGCAGTACGCTCTTCTGCTCGGTCTACTGACCGTGCAACTGCAATAGATGTTGCATTGAATGAATTACGTGCCAGGAAAAGATTACGTCAGCAAGATCCCGAGTCTCATCGGAAACGTAGAGATGCAGACACCGGGGTCAAACGGAAGGGATTCACACCTGCTGCTTTAAGCACCTCGAGTCATAGCGATAGTGGGTCCCACAGTGAAGACGAGGAGTCAACGGGCGGAATGGGTGAAAGTGATGACGAAAAAGTGTCAAGGGAGTCCACAATTCTCATGTATGAAGATGTGAAGGGAATCACCATCAGAAGATCAAAACTGGCAAAATGGTTTATGGAGCCTTTCTTTGAGGAGTTGATTGTTGGTTGTTTTGTGAGGGTTGGCATCGGAAAATCAAAATCCGGGCCGATTTATCGGCTCTGCATAGTCAGAAATGTGGATGCAGCCGACCCGGATAGACAATACAAGTTGGAAAACAAGATGACTCATAAGTATCTGAATGTCGTTTGGGGAAATGAAAATTCGGCTGCAAGGTGGCAGATGGCCATGATTTCGGATTCCCCGCCTCTTAAAGAAGAGTTTGACCAATTAATTCGAGAGGTGGAACGCCATGGTGGAAGGATGCCGAGCAAGCAAGAAGTGTTGGAAAAGCGAGAAGCCATAGAAAAGACCAACTCGTTTGTATACTCTGCGGAGACTGTGAAGCAAATGTTACAGGAGAAAAAATCGACTATAAGAAGACCTTTAAATGTTGCAGCTGAGAAAGATCGGTTGAGGCGCGAGATGGAAGTTGCTCAAATGAAGCATGATGAAACAGAAGTGGAAAAGATTAAAGCAAAACTCCATGAACTAGAGGCGTCTCGCCAGACTCAGCAGAAAGATAAGAAGGCTATACGACTTGCGGAAATGAATAGAAAGAATCGGGTCGAGAATTTCAAGAATGCATCCGAAATGAAACCCGTGAGTGTAGGTCTGAAGGCTGGTGAAGCGGGTTATGATCCGTTTTCAAGGAGATGGACTCGGTCGAGGAATTACTATGTCTCAAAGCCTGGAGAGGCTGCAGCTGAAGCCAATGGAGGGGATGCCCAAACGGCAGCCATAGTGGGTCCCGATGGCAGCAAGGCAGGCATTGTGGCTACTGTGGCGGCACTGGAGGCGGCTGCGGATGCGGGGAAGTTGGTGGATACTAGCGCACCAGTGGATAAAGGGACCGAGTCAAACATCGTGCATGATTTCGACCTGCCGATTTCATTGGCTTCGCTTCAGAAGTTTGGTGGGCCCCATGGAGTCCAGGCCGGCTTCATGGCACGGAAACAGAGGATAGAAGCAACGGTTGGGTGTCAGGTCCCTGAGAATGATGGGAGAAGGCATGCGTTGACCCTGTCGGTAAGCGACTACAAGAGACGGAGAGGTCTGCTTTAAGACGTGATACCAGAAGACGGTGGTTCGATAGGAATGGTCTATGTTGAAATTAGGTATGCAGCTAACACTTTAAGCTACCTTTTTCATCAATATTTACGTGTTTTTTTGTTGGTAATTAAACGGTGGATTCGAACTTGAGTTATGTTAACGTAGTGTTATGTCTTTTTTGATTATGGGACTTATATTTGACACTATAATTTTGTTTCATCATCTGCATTGTTACTACTGCACTAGTATCTGCCCGCCCTGCCTTTCTTAGTATGGATATAAAATAGAGCATGCTACCAAGGGTAGGTATCTTTTCTTTCTTATAAGGAATGACTGTGGGAATAACGGTTATGGAAAGACAACTTTTGGATGTGTTTTTTTGGTTTCAACCTCATGCATTCATCTGACACCAAACTTTACTTTTCAACGTGAATTTGTTAAAGTTTTATTCATGGAGATAAAAATAGGTAAATAGAAGTATTTGTAGGTGTATGAAGGCTTTGTTCTCACCATGATATTTAGGGTTCGTTTGGTTTGCGGAATTCGAAGGAATTTGATGGAATTGAAATGACAAATTCCTTTGACCAAATTTCAATTCCTTTGTTTGGTTCATTTCTTGAAATTCCATTGAATTCCACAAGTTAATGAATTTATAATTTCTTGGCATAATGGAAGGAATTGAATTCCATAACCACCCACCACGACCATGCTACTATTGTTCGTCATGCCCCACCCCTAACCCTCCACCACCATTACCGTCGCCGCCACCCACCCCCCACCCATCCACTAACCACCATGCCACTACTGTTATCATCACACCCACCCACCCCCCGATCACTCACTACACATCCTTACTACGACCATGTTGGTACTGTTACTATCACGCCCTTAACCTAACTCCCACCACCACACCATTATTGTAAGCTATCACAACTGCCACTCACCCCACCCTACCCCCTACCCACCACTAACCACCATGCCACAACCGTCGTTGTCATACCCACCCACTCCCAGCCACCCGACCACCATCCTTATTAATGATTTTAGTGTCATCAAGCCATTTAGTATGATCGGGATTAATGTGAGACAAGCCGAAATTAGACTTAGCTATAATTCGAGTTCGGAGGTGCGAAGTGCATGCTCGGATAAGTTAAGTTGATCTCGGGTATGCGGGGTCCGGGGGCAGCGCCCCTGACAAGGTCCAAGGGGAAGAGCCCATGGGGCGGTCCCAACTCCCGAACAGACACGACTCCCGCCAAAATAACCGACTTAACCGCCGGTGGCTATATATAAGATTTCGATTTGATAATTGCAGGGTGGCAATCTTGGTGCATACCGTTACTCTGTCGGAACTTAAGGTACAATACTCTGATTCTGTAGTTGAGTTTGCTATTGTACTTTGCTTTGTAGCTCTTCTAGCTCACAACTCCTCCGTTTAATACAAACACATATCCTGACTGTGATTTAAAGTCATCACGGTCAGTTTGGAAACTAGCATCTGTATATCCTTGGATACACAGATCTCTTTCTTGACCGCCGTATAGCAAGAACATATCCTTAGTTCTTCTCAGATACTGTAGGATATTTTTCACTTCTACCCAGTGAGCATCACCTGGGTTTGACTGATATCTACTCGTCATGCTTAGGGAATACGAGACGTCAGGTTTAGTACATAACATGGCATGCATAATTGAACCGGTGGCCGAAGCCTAGGGAACACCCTTCATACGGTCCATATCCTCTTTAAGGCTAGGACATTGAGGGGCTGTTTACTTGCGGCTTAATTAGTCTTATTAGTCTATCTGGCTTATTCGCACATCTCATTTGGGTTGTTTACTTACGGCTTATTCGCATAGAACATGGCTTAATCGCACATATAGAAATGGTCTGTTGCCCCCATTCAGCCACAAGAAAGACACCCCTACCCCTTATTTAAAGTACCGCCTCCTTCCCATATGAGACACCCAATCTTCGGCCTCTTTATGATTTTCTGTTTTGATGTTCAAATAATTAATATTGAGGGGTAAATCGATCATTTATGTTATTCAGATTGTTGGTTTAGATAAAAAATGTAAACAACACCACCCATTTATCCAGACAAACAAATTTATCCGGACAGACAAATTTATCTGTATAGGACTCAATAAAAAATTTGGTTAACAACCCCTCAGTTTTGCTCAGTTGTATGCCATGGACCATCGACAAGTTTCCTCTCTTGAAACCCTCCATCTTGAAGCGTTTCAAGATCTTGTCAATGTATGTGTACTCAGGCTTAATCCAATTAAGCGCTTAGATCTATCTAGATAAATCTTTATTCCAAGAATATATATTGTCTCTCCTAGATCCTGCATCGCGAAACACTTCTCTAGCCATACTTTTACTCCTTCAAATGTTGGGATGTCGTTTCCAATAATCAATATGTCATCAACATATAGGATCAAGAATACTATTATGCTCCCACTGATCACCTTGTATACACAAGGTTCATCTTTGTTTCTTACAAAATCAGATTCCTTGATTTTCTTGTTAAAACGAAGATTCCAACTACGAGATGCTTGCTTTCATAAATGGACATTTGCAATTTGCATACCTTTTTAGGATTCTTTGGATGCTTAAAACCTTTTGGTTGTACCATATATACGTCCTTGTTTAGAGTTCCGTAAGGAATATAGTTTTAACATCCATCTGTCATATCTCGTAATCATGATAAGCAGCTAGTGACGGCCAAAAATCGGTCCCGGGCCGGTCCCAATCGGACCTTACCTTCTTCGTAACCGGCGGTAACCAGTCCAACCATAACCGGTCCCGGTCGAGAAAGTGATGACCGGTCAAGCCGACTCATAACCGGTTATGGGGTACCGGTCCCGGTCTCAGTCCTAAGCATAAGAAAAAAATATTTTTTAGTTTTTTTTAAATTTTTTAAATGATATATATTTTTACTATGTTATTAAATTTTTCGTACGAGTCACTCAAATACACTTTAAAGATATGTTTTATTATAATTAAAATTACATTGTTTTACAAAAATTTATTATAAAATTATTTGAAAATACATTTATTCATCAACCTTCATCGGTATCCCATGTTGGATTGATTTGAAGAGTTTCGGTCTTTTGAATTCTTCTAATAGCTTCTTGGTCATCAATGTCGAGTTCCTCGTCATCGTCATATTACGAGTAAGTGTCGTCGGTATCGGTAGTTGGCGGCGTGCTTAGTCACATGGAGATTTCATTTTCTTCTAGATTTTCTTCCACCTCTTCAATCTCTATCTCTAACGATGTCGTGTGTTGAATTCTATCAATGTTATAACCGGGTTTTCTGCAAATCTAGTCAAGGTAACTCTATGTGTTTATTATGTGAATTATATGATAGCATGCATGTTATCTTAAATATAAATGCATGAATTATGTGCATATTTGTGGTAATTTGATATTATGCATGCATATGTGGAAATTTTATAGGCGGTTATATGATAATATAATATGTGGGAATATTATTATATAATTCAAAACCTTCAAGGTTAAGAAAAGTTGATTATAAAATATTATCTTTCCATCGCCTAAGGACTTTTTATATTAAAAGTATCATCCACCGCCTCATCCTAAGTATAAAAGGAAGAGGATAAGGTAAAAACCTGATCAGTTTACTATTTTTTACAAAATATACAAGAGAAATTTAAGGCGGTGAAGAGTTCTTGAAGAAAATTGATGTTAAGAATTTTGTTAAATTGTTGTAAGATAATCTGCAGAATCTGTGTTGATTAAGGTGAGTTTTAAACTACCGTCGATTTATAAACTGAGAGTTTTATTAACCGTTTTTATTATAACCGTAAGTTTATAATCTGCTGTTCAATTCTATAATATTTATAGATGATTGAGATTTAGAAGGAATATGGTGAAAATTGCTTTTAAACAGTTTTGAAAGAAGTATTTATGGTTCAAAAGATTAGAACTTGTTTTGAGAAGATTGAACAGAAATTGTTCTTTAGAAACAATTTTTAAAACAGTACCCTGTTTGGGAAAAACAAGATGAGTTGAGCAATTTGATCTAGAACAGAGTGTTATTAAGATTTGAAAGGTTTGAATATAAACATGTGTTGAGAATATGATCTGGATAAAAACTATGAACGAGGTTTACTCTGACAAAAAGTTCTGCAGCCTGTCATTGGATGAAATAGTTCATATGAATTTCAGGGGAAATAAGGATGGTCGTTGTGTGTAATGGATATCTATTGCTATAAACAGGGGATTTATGGATGTAATAATGATGGTCGTTGTGTGTGTATGCATGGTATAACTCTTGCTATTATATCAAATAAGATTACAACATATTTGAGTTCTCTCTTCTTGGTGATTTGAAGATTCAGAGATATTGTTCTTATTGGAAATAGTAATATTGATGTTATGGTTACAGAAAAATATGACTTATGGTCATTAATTTTGGTTAAAAGCATTTTGGAACAGAATGCTTATTTTTATTAGGAACCAGAAGAACTCTGGTTGGTCCTCACTATAGAACCACAGGGTTCTTGTTATATATTTAAGGAATGTACAAGTTTTACTAAACGTACTGTTTGGACCAGAGGCAGAGATCCAGATAAAGCCATGTGTTGGATCAAAGAGATAGAGTCTGTATTCAACACCATTCGCTGTGCAGAATCAAATAAAGTCAGATTTGCATATTATGTTTTGAAGTCAAATGCTTTGTTTTGGTGGGAGGTAGAATCATTGGCCAAAACAAATATTCTACAAACTATGACATGGGCAGAGTTTGTGAACAAATTCAAAGAGCAATTCTGTCCTAAAACAGCGGTCAGGCAGATGGAAGAAGATTTCTTAAAATTGGAACAAAGCTCTGGGTCAATTAGAGAATACACAAAGAAATTCATAGAATATTCAAGGTTTGCTGAGCATTACATCTCAACAGAAGTAAGAAAAATAAAACGATACATTTGGGGTCTAAAACCATCTATCTGAGAATTTGTTATAGCAATGAATCATGCTACTTTTCCAATGGCAGTAGATGCAACAGAGATCACCGAGAGGAACAAGAATAGAAGTGAAGAAGGGAAACAGATGGAGAAAAGAAAATGGGAAGGACCTTCGGCTAGTTATCGAGGATCAAAAACTATCAAGTTTAATAATAGAGCAATGCAGAGACCAATAGAAAGAGCCTGTCCCCGGTGTCGACAGTATCACCGAAGGGA